GCCCATTTCGAAGAACTCGCCGCAAAGCCGGATTTCTCCGAATCTCGAGGAGTAAAAGAGATAGAAAAAAAGAAAGAAGAAAAAAAAAGAAAGGAGAAAAAAGAAAAGAAAAGGATATGTTGGGACATCACAAGTTCAGCATCCTCCCAACGTAGAGCGTTCGCATCATGACGCAACGTTCCAGGCCTGGGAACCTTCTATTCGCAAAAAAGGAATGAACACGGGAAAAGAGGTCATCATGCGCGCGCGCCGCGTGCAAAGAATGAAAGGCGGCGACGCATGTAAAGGGAGAGAGGCGACAGACAGGCTACCTATAGAACAAGGCTTCGGTAATCGATCAGCCTACTCTGTTTTTTTTTTCGAGTGAGTGTGACGTCATCACTGCGACACTTTATACCTGCTCTGTCGACATTCCTGCACGTCTTGTGCAGTGTAGCAATGGCCCTTCGCGATGATCTCGAAATGGTCTGCACGCTCCTCTGCTGATGACGCAGCGAACGGCCTCTTAATTGTGACGTCAGCTATATATAGGACGCCTGACAAGAACGACTGCGGTGAACCCCGTGGTCGGTGAAAAAGCAAGGCAGCGAATTGGGAATAAGGGAAGAGGTAGAACTGGAGAGACCGGATAGGTGGGTACTGATTCGTGTATACCAGTGACCCTGGCGACACGCTCCGCCTGGTCCAAGAGGCTCCTTTGGACCTCCAGCACTGACCGAGCTTTGCTTGCGGCAGACGGGCGTGTGAAGAAAAACAAAAACAAAAAAAGGCTACATGATGTTTGGCGTCACTTCGGCGTGTGGGAAGGATAGACAAAGTTCGAATCGAAATTAAAGCTGATTGTTTTCACAATTCGACGGCAATCGTTTGTACACTCGCGCTTACGGTTTCATCCAGCCATCTCGCTTACTTTTGTCACCGTACAGCTTTCCTTTTCTGTCGGAGAGATGGGGGAGGCAGCGATGTGGTGGGGGAGCTAGGGCCACTCCACACATTGGCCGGTGTGATGACTGAGATTATGAGCATCGCCATGTACACGAACTGCATTTGTGCGCGGTAAAAGTAGCAGAGGAAAGAGCTGAGACATAAAAACGACACCATAAAGAGATAAGACAGCTCCATTTCTGTAAGTAAGAGACCTGGAGCTGGCGTTTTATAGTTAGTAAACGAACTTGAACTAATGAAACCGTGAAAGAGAGCAGAACGACATCTGAAGAGACCACCGTCTTCAATACATCAATACTGCATATATATATATATATATATATATATATATATCAGAGAGGGAGAGTTGACACACCGGAGGCCACCCATGCGCAGATTAGCCTACCCGGCGGTCCAGCTATCCAATCAGCTCGGTTATGAAGGGGGCGAATATTTCCGCCCCAACCAGTCCCTAATATTTGCATACGCTGAATAGCAACTAGCACGAACACCAAAGTAATCTGCACCGACAGAGAATCGAACATCTGAAACGCGACGTCCCACGAAAGTAGCGTCTGCATCATCAAGTCAGAACAGCCTCTATACGGGCACTCAACGTGACGTGACCTGAATGTTGTTTTATACAAACAACTTCTTTCCATCACGTGAACCCCTGTCGGCGTAACGATGCATCTTAACGATGACCAAGGAACTGAAAGGTAATTTCGCTGTCGAAGCTGTACGTTGCGATTGCGCATTCGACGGAGGCTCGAGTCGTTAGTGTTAGTTTTAGCTATAGCTCGCTGTCACGCAACGTTGCATGACTTAGGTCGTGGTTAGAAGCACGCCTAGCGGGCTATGCATCACGTGAGCCGTTCGCGTTCTTCAAGTGAAACAGAAAGAGAAGAGAAAAGAACTCGCGGCACGTGTTTAGAGCTTTGCGCTCGACACTCGCTTCAGTCCCTTTGACTTGCTTTGTATGCCGAGCCACGGCCGGGCTAGAGACGCGGCACGCGTGTATATTCACTCGAAGAAAGTGTGCGCGTGCCGCTCTTCTATAGCACGGCCGTGGCTGCGCCTGTTAAACGATGACAAGTCAAACGGTTTTGTAAACCAGATAAAACAAACTTAAGAGTTGGAGAAATGGCGCGAAAGAGCTCGTTATGTTCACATTCACGTCTGTAGAATCCGTTGTCATTAGAATCATTTAGAATCCACGCTAGTGTAGATTGCAATGCACACTTGTTTTCTCGTTCTTTCATCGTCAGATTTTTCATACTTTCATCCAGCAGTGTATAATAATAATAATAATAATAATAATAATAATAATAATAATAATAATAATAATAATAATAATAATAATAATAATAATTGTGGTTTTACGTCCCCAAACCACCATATCATCATGATAGATGCCTTTAATGCGCTCCTAAATCTAAGCACACAGGCCTCAAGCATTTTGGCTTCCACCGAAAATGCGGCCGCCGCAGCCGGGATTCAATCCCGATACCTGCGGGTCAGCAGCCGTGTTCCTTAGCCACGAGACCACCGTGACGGGTTACCAGTCTAGACTAGGCAATCTGACCATTAAATAAATAATAGTAAGCTGTATTTTGTCGCTTCGCGTGTCACAAACACATTATCATGCGGTCTGTAGGCGGCTGTACAAAGCGATTTCGACCACCTCGCACATGCGCATAAATTTAAGTACGCAGGTGTCTACGCAACTCACCCCCATTGGAACGCAGCGGCTGAGGCCACGTTCAGGAAATGAATTCGTGCCCTCAATTTTCCTGCCTTTTATCCTTTAAAGGTTAATCGATGCTTCTAAGAACACGAGAGCCAAACATGATAGCGCAGCATGCACCCCGTAGTATAAAATTAATTCTCAAAGTCACCGAGAGAGCGCTCGTTCTATCTACAAACCGTTCTTTTACCGTTGCTCTCACACCGTTATTTTTCCACTTTATTTTTGTATGTCCCCCTATGCAAAACCCTCGTCGAGGGCCTTTAGGGGTATTTTGAAAAAAGAAAAATGAAATAAATTCTAAACATCAAAATGACAGAGCCATATGGTCAAGCTCACCACCATTGGCTGATTCAAGTATCGTGCGCCGCATAGTTACAGTGACCGCCGAGAGAGGCCACCAGGTGCTCTCACTCGCCATCACACAGAGATCAAGCCACATGTTCAAAGAAAAAAACAAACAAAAATAAATGTGCTCAGCTTCATGACGTGCGCGTGGATTGACTTCTTTTATCCTCGCCCTTCCTCCCTGCTTAACTTCCATGGCGCTCGTCGGAACGAGCGTATAGAGAGTAGAAAATTACAGCGTGCGACAAATTTTTGCAACTTATTGTACTTCAGGTCAATACGACAGAATGTGCACTGCGAAGATATTTTGTCACCTCGGGTTCGTCACTAATTTCTCCACATGAACGTAGTCTGCGAACGGCACTTTCTCTCGTATCAAGTTTGCGAAACCGGTGCTAAAAATTTCGAGAGCCGAGCACTTCACTTCAGGCGCTGGGTCGTGACTAACAAAAAGTTGCACCTTTGGGAACTTAAAAGCTTTTCGATGGTTGGCTCGATTCCAGCCTAAATAAAGAAAAAAAGAGCTCGTCTACTTCTGCGAAGATGGAAGGCCGCGAAGCCAGCGGCTGCGGCTTCATGTCGTTTTACGCACTCATTCGCACTTCAATGCGTGTCGGCAACAGCGTAGCCTCCGGGACAAGCTACTACCAGATAAAGTGTACTAAGTACACTTTAACGCAGGTGTGAACCGAAGAGAGACCACTCGTGGCGCTGCCGGCACAGTGCACTGTTGCACCACATGAGCTGTAGAATATGCGCCATTCTTAGGCTACAAATAAATTGATAAATGTTTAGTGTCTTGAAGGAACTATTTTAGTGTCTTGAAGAAAAAAATATTGTTATCATATTAGTGAATTATTATTTCGCAATTCCAAAATCACCCCGCTTGCCATGAGAAGGCACATGGTGCCCCGTCACGGTGGTCTAGTGGCTAAGGTACTCGGCTGCTGACCCGCAGGTCGCGGGATCAAATCCCGGCTGTGGCGGCTGTACTTCCGATGGAGGCGGAAATGTTGTAGGCCCGTGTGCTCAGATTTGGTGCACGTTAAAGAACCCCAGGTGGTCCAAATTTCCGGAGCCCTCCACTACGGCGTCTTTCATAATCTTACGGTGGTTTTGGAACGTTAAACCCCACAAATCAATCAATCAATTAGAAGACACATGGTAAACTAGAAAACGCGAAAAAGAAAGACAAGCAGGTGGCGATGCCACTTCGAAGTTCCTGCCCCAAATGTCATGACGTCATATGTTATAGTAACTGTAAGTGTTCAACGTCCCAAAACTACGATATGATCATGAAACACGTCGTATTGGAGGGCCCCTAAAATTACGACCACTCAGGGTTCCTTAACGTAGTCCTAAATCCAAGTACACGGACCACGAGCATTTTCGTCTTTATCGAAAACGCGGCCGCCATGGCCTGGATTTGATTCCATGACCTTGTGGTCATGACGTATATTTCGATGGCATCTGCCAAGTTCGACTTAGATGCTAAACAGTAAAATTACCTGCATTGTCCATTGAGGTGGTCATAGACTAAACTTACCGACTTTCAGAAAAAAAAAATGTTCCGCCGAGGTCGGCGAAATACAAAATGACACGTTTCGAGCACTGCGACGTCACGTGCGGCTTTTTCAGTGGGATATCAAACAATTAAAGTTTAATTTTAATTTTTACTTCTATTCATAAATCTGTCGTGATCAACTTAACGACGTCACACATATAAAGCTACAATCGATCCATCGTTTCACTTTAGTGTCAATGCATTGGTTGTCACATACGACACATCACTGCCCTCAGGAAACAATCTCCCGTTACCAAAAAAAAAAGGTAACTGGCACGGAAACGTTGTGTACCCTCGCTTGTAGCACGCGAATTTGCGTCCATATCATCACCTATACGTCACGAACGCAGACAACGCACACGCAACCGAAGGTAACTATAGGTAATCAGGGCACTGCTATAGTAACTATATACTCACGGCAGCGAGACCACGTCGCAGCAGTCGTCGTCGTCGTCGTCGTCCCCGTAGAGAATCTCCCGGGGCGTCCGGGCCGAGGGCCGAGTGTCAACGCAGGCCCTGCACGGCAAGACACGAAAACTTTTGTAAAGTCGTATGGATATAGGTGCGAAATACTGTACTTACTCGTGCAATAGCTGCACCTACGTGAAAGCCGCACTGAGAACGTTAACTGTTGGAAACGAACCCCTTCCCTTCCATCAAGAGTTATTCAAAACGTTTAACAGCGCTTTTACCCCGCTCTTGAACTTGGAGAAACAAGGTTACAGTGATTATACGTAGCGTAGTTGCGCCTCCGGATGTCCAATTTTATGTGAGAACAACGTATATAGTTTGTTCCGATCTTTACGATAGCTTTTAGGCTTTCTGCGCCACTCAGAAACCGTTATTTTAGTAGTACGCGCAACGGGTGTGTCTAATAACAACCTCTGGTTTCAAGCATGCGCCATTAGAGTGGGGGGGGGGGGGGGGCGAGGATGGCACCGCCTTTGATGATATGAAGAGGCGAGGGGCGGGGGTGTCATTCCCACCACTCGTTGAAGAAAACACTTCGCCTTCATTCAGTAAATAAGAATTATAAAGATGAAATAACAATTCCAAAAGCACACCCAATTACGAATCATACACGCGATACTTCCACCACTCCGCGACGCATTTAATCGAGGTCCCCTGGTTGAAAGATGCGGGCAGTATTTCTGTAGGCTACAAATGTTTCAAAGGCGACTAAAATGGTACCTGATGTTGCACTGTAATACCAGCTTAATTTGGATCTTAACCACCGAAAAGAGGCCAATGCAGGGGTGGCGCTGCGATCTTCAGATACGAAGCGTCTTAGGGTCAAGCTCACGTTCCGCCGTGCCAAATGAAGTCGTTATCCATTCAAGTCCACGCATTATTCTGAAGTATAGGTTGGTGAACCGAAGGTACTGCGCAAGAAACCATGTCGCTCGGTGGTCGTTGCACAAAAAACGACATTTCGTGCTACGAGGTTAACGAAGCGACAGTGACGTCCAGTGGAGCTATAGGTAATCGAATTAAAATAGTCATTTGACAGTATAGTGCCGTGCACTGTTGTCTTTCTCGTATTTGTGTGTGGTCCCCCCTCAAAGGCAATGTTTTGTGGAAAGCCAATATCGCTTTTAAAAGAAACGTTCATACGTATAGCGGCTCTCAATTTACATGAAAACCGCATGCACATGATATATACACAATACATAGACGACGGATATATACCGTCGAGCCGATATAGATCTGTGTATCACAACGCTCGCGTACCACACAAAATCAATCGACTGTTAACAATGCGCACGCGAAGCATCGAAGCCCTGAAAACCTCAACAAACCACTTCCTTCTTACTTTTTTTCGGTCGTACTTGTCCCGAAACAAATTGATTCGGAGTATTCATAGCAACTGTTGACGTCGCGCGGTGCAGCAACGATTCCATGAGGATCCCGCCGACTGCGGCAAATACGTCCGGGTCGAGTGTCAGTTCCAGGTATGACATTTGCCTCCAGGGCTGTGTATACCAACTATGTTTTTTTAAAACATTTATGTTAGGGCAGGTCTTCCGCCGCTTGTGTTCGTTTGTACCGAATGCGAACGGTGCTGCAGACGCGATGCTGCTGCATAGGTTTTACGTTTTGTACGTCTCTGGCACATGTCTTTCGAGCAGTACGTTCGCTATAACTGACGACTGCGGTGCAGAATAATGGACGGCGTTTCTAGTTCCGCTGGGGCCAATTTGGGGCGGGATATCATGTCTCGTGGGCCGCAGTTGTGACCGAGTTCCTTGCATAACGGTGCCGCTCAGTCCCCCTGCAATACACATTTTGCTGGCAATACCAGAGGGCTCACGGGCGCGTGGAACGTATGTCGAGCGTATGCCGAGTGTACGAAAAGTGCGTATGCCGAGCTCGCTCATCACGCTCGTTTGCACCGTTAGGAGCTTCCAGATGGGAGCACGAAACGAACCGAAGAAGTCGCCGCTTCTTAACTGTTATTACACCCTCAAAACTGCACATACTTGCAAGCCTTTTGGATGTTTTGATTAATACTTATTTATTTATTTATTCATTTATTTTCAGAATACTGTCAATCCCCCATGGGGATTATTACAGGGGTGAGCATCACTGTCACAACTTTCGAGGTTGTGCCAGTATGTGGGGTTTGATATGTGGGGTTCGACGTCCCAAAACCACCATATGATTATGAGAGACGCCGTAGTGGAGGGCTACGGAAATTTTAACGTGCACCCAAATCTTTAACGTGCACCCAAATCTGAGCACACGGGCCTACAGCGTTTCCGCCTTCATCGGAAATGCAGCTGCCGTAGCAGGGATTCGACCCCACGACCTGCTGGTCAGCAGCCGAGTATACCTTAGCCACTAGGCCACCGCAGCAAGGCCACTGTAGCTTTTAGAAAGTAGACCCGTATTGTTCACGAGTACGCACATTCATATCCACAGCATGTTCACATGTTAGCGAACACGTGAATCCACAACCAGCGGGTTTGTAAAATGCCCCACATCTGCAGTTAGTGTCAGTGATTGGCGGTTAAGGCTTATCTTTTGTTGCCTGCTGTGCGGGCGAGGCGCACGCTGTCTGATCAACGTGTCTTATTTTACTAAATGACGACTGTCACGTGATCTTTAAATCGCAAAGCCTGCCTTATTGTGCTCATAGACAGTGTCGGTGAATGTTGGCTCCAAGTGAACTGGCGGCGCATGGCATTGACCGCTTGTGGATATCGTCTAGGGAACTGAGATGTACGTTTTTTATGTTTAATTTATGCTCTGGGGCGTACCGGCGCAAGAAAAAAATGGCTCTTCGGAACGGCTCAGCGGATCCAACATTGGCCCCGACTACACTAGCCAGATGAAAATCATAGAGGCCGTCTTAGCCAAAGACAAAAAAGCGGAGTACTTAATTACGCAGTAGTATGCAACAACTTGTCCCACGTAATTGATCTGAGAATCGCTGACACGACGCAGGCGGAGAGCTAAAGCAAAATTCCGCGCTCTCAACGCAGCGAGTGCTACGGCGTGCACACTCTTCCCATTGGTGCTGTATGCGCACCCGTTGGTGGCGCTCATGTTCTTTATTGATTGATTGATATGTGGGGTTTAACGTCCCAAAACCACTACATGATTTTGAGAGACGCCGTAGTGGAGGACTCCGGAAATTTCGACCACCTGGGGTTCTTTAACGAGCACCCAAATCTGAGCACATGGGACTACAGCCTTTTCGCCTCCATTGAAAATGCAGCCGCCGCAACCGAGATTCGATCCCGCGACTTGCGGGTCAGCAGCCGAGTACATTAGCCTCTATACCACAGCGGCAGGGCGTTCATGTGTTTGAACTCCCTGGAACTACCCACTATGGTACAAGATACATCGATACACACATGCGTAAAGAAAAAATGAAAGAAAAAAAAGAAAAACGGAAAAAAGAAAGAAAGAAAGAAAAAGAAAGAAAGAGAAAAATGGCGGAGTTTTTAATAGCGAAACACATCGATCTGTCAAGACGGGTATTCCCTGTCCCACACCCTGCCTCGTGCAAGGCACAGGCAGTTACCCTTCAACAACTGCAAGCCAGTGCGTATCCTAACTCTGCTGTTCTTCATGTCATCTGCCCTGAACGGTATCCAAGTGCGGACTGCCCTGCCTGTGGACTATTAACAACATTCAACCATGTCTTGTGGGAATGTGAAGCCATCGGCTCCGCCTTCAGCGAGGACCGGTGGGTAACGTTCTTACGCAGCCCCGAACTTAAGGATCAAACCCAGGCCGTCCAGAGTGCCCGTGAACGGGCCGCCAAGCTCTGCTTGATGGTCCCTACGTGGGATTACCCGGGTGGCGTGGTGTCTTCCCTGCATTTTCTCAGGACCAAAATAAAGTTTTAATCAATCAATCAATCATTCAATAAATGAATTAATTAATATCACTAAGCCGCGCGAGACACGAAACAGCCATAGTATGGACGATTCTCAAGACTGATTTGGTTGCTTCCAGCTTGTTTGTAGGGCTTAGCAAGGTGAGTCAGCTTGTCTCTGTATGAATCGCTAGGCTTAAGTACTTGATATACTAGGTTCTTTCAACATTGATTAATGTCCAAACTCCAGAGAGAGAAACTGGCGCAGAAACCAATGATTCACACATCTCATAGCTCTGCGGGAGCGTTGTCGTCGTCGTACGCCTTCCGTGTCTTCGGTGTCTTCTCGCAACCATGGCACGCTGCCTTTTCCGTTGCCTATAGTGTTGGGGTAACTGTTGCCTCCTTTTTTAGTGGACCTCATAGTGCTGAACCGTTTATAAAACGTGATACGGCTTACATATTACAGCATTGAAACAACTTCACTGCTAGAATAGATTCATAGGAACAGCTTGGAATATACATGCAGGTGAAACGAAAATGCAGAGAAGCAGCTTATTGAATCCTGCGTATCAGAACTCACGGTACGAAAAAATTATTTTTTTTTCTCCTACTCTATGTTACGTGCAACCACACGAACTGTTTGCTCCCAAGCCCCACAGAGGTGATCAAATAAGCCGATTTCATATAAAAACAACCAGACACTAAGGGGCTGTATTACAGCAGCAAACAGCAAGCGCAAGAATCCAGCGCGAGAGTTGTGTGCTCCAAACTGACCATGTGCAGAATGTAAACGCTGCCCGAGCTCATACGTACGTACGCTATTTACCCTGAGACATTTGTCAGCGATGTCACGAAGGTGGTATGCACAGAAAGGAAGCAAAAAGGCAAGTCTCAGCCCTTATGCTCTCAGCCCGAAAGCGCCTTCTGCCATTGGTCTGCAGCCGGCACCATCAAGAATATGGCCAGCCTTGCGACTGGCTAAAAAATTTTCTCACTAACACAAATTTATGATAGGTTTTTGTGGATATACAGAGCCTGTTTTGAAAAAAAAAAGTGGTGTAGGTGTAGCAAGCCGCTCATTCGTTCACGTGGAGAGTACTATACCTTCTTGTCGCTTAGTTTCGCTGAAGAAGTGCACCGATTCGCAACTGAAAGGCCGCAAGATTAGAGTAGTGGGCAGCTCTCA